TCCCTTTCTGACGTGAGTTCTGAATTTTTGTTCAATTCTAAATTCTGAGTTCTTCTACAGTACTTCTTCGCTTTTGTTCTATTAAGCGCACGAATGTAGTTATTTCTTTGTTCCGTCACTACGGAGAACATTAGGGGGGGGGGGTCTCGTTCAGTAATTAGGCCATGTCGTGTGACAGTTGCTGCCCTTACAGAAATTCCAGTCTTTGATGGGGGAGGGGATCCCTGGACACTATTTTCTTCCCTGCGGAAAATTGGAGTATTTAAGGCAATATGAATTGTTACACCACACGCCCCCTTTACTGAGTAAGACCCCATTGGTTTTTGATTTCATTCTACATTTGCTGGTGAATGGAATATCATGCAAGCTTTTATTTCTACTATGAAGCTTGGTTTTGGTGGCATTTTTTGAGCGTTTCCCATTATGAAAGTGGTTTATCGGTTCCCTTACGTTTTCTTACTAATTCTGCTTGTAGAAGCAGCCTTTCCATATCGTTTTCTGTAGATCCTGACGACTTTCGAGTCCACTGTTCAAATGTTGATTCGGAACTATATTTTTGCGCACTACTCGATCCTGCGCTTTGACAACCCAATGGGATTTTCTTGTTTCTTCTGAAAATTATACTGTCTTCTAAAGAAGTTATCATAAACAAAGTACTTTCAGGTGAAGAACCATGTCAGACGACAAGGTTACAATTTTGTTACATGCTGTTGGTGACGCTCCCATTTTGAAGCAGAAGAAGTTCGTCGTTGACGCCAGCAGGACAGTAGCGTGGCTCACACAAGTGATTAAGAAATTAATTAATTTGCCAGATAATCAAAGCCTTCATATCTATATTTCGCAAACTTTTGCCCCGTCGCCAGATCATTCCTTTGGTTCTCTTCGTGATTGCTATGCTGTTAAGACTGACGGCAAAGAACACCATTTAGTAATGCAGTATAGCACAACATATGCTTGGGGCTGAATTAATTGTATTAACTTGTTTTTTTTTCCTGTACAATAAATACATTGTTTTTTCTTCGGAGACATTATGCATTGTGTAATGGTAGTGTTGCAGCTACAGTGCTACCGATTATTTATCAATTCATGAGTTGCAGGTTAATTATGCCTCGAAGTGAAATTGCTTTTTCATTGCGGTGCCTAAATGGGTCATGTATGTTTCAAAGTTGTCGTGCTTAATTTGGCACGCGTGTAGGCATGGCCCTTGTCATGCTGACTTTGAGCAGTGCGTTTATTTCATCGAACGTGCAGCATAAATAAGGCCCAAGGTGATAAGTTCCAAGTTTGAGGTAAAGGTGACGCTATTATCCACCACGCTGATGGGGGAGGGATATTTGCGTCTTGCTCGTCCACCTCACTGTCTCGTTCCTGGGACCGATATCCCGCTTTAATACCTCGCATAAATCGAACCGTGTTTCGTGAACTAGTCCACAGCCCAAAAGACTTCTGTTTTATTTCGTTTTCCATAAGCGTGAACTCATGAAATAATTTTGGATCAAACAAGCATAGCCGAAAATCTTCATGTCGTTACTTCTTGGATTTACTCGTACCCTCACTTTCGAGCTGCTATTATACTTTGGAGTAAATGATGTTTTTTTTTTCTAAGATGCGAAGCCAGAGATAAATTGTGTTCGCTATTTCCTCTTTTGAGAATAGGTGTTGCTTTGCCCCAGTTCCATTTTTTATGTATGATTCTGGATCTACAGGGTGGTCCAAAATTATGAGGACCAAGACATTGTGTCGTTAAAAACGCATAGTAGCTTGATGGAACAAACCAACTTCTGGGAAGTATTTGTAACTCTTACCTCAAAGTAATTCCAGAATAGAATTGAGATCTGCCACTGCCCCGTTAACACGAGCCTTCAGATGAGGGGGATGGCGCGTGCGGTGGCACGCAACTAAGGCGTGTCCAAATGTTTCCAGGCCTTCTGCTCTGCCTTCTTCAGGGAATCAAAGTTTTGTGGGCATTTATTTGCGCTTGCATCCAGGTGTGAAATACAGAAAGGCGGATGGTCCCATTGTA